TTGCTATTGCTATTGCTATTGGTAGGAAACCAGGAAAATTGGTTGCAAATGGTGCTCAGGTGAGCCTGGGGATGCGGCATATAAAGACTGTTCATAACTATCAGTTGTTCAGCACCATCATCATAACTTTGGTCGCTGAACAATTGGTCATTAAATAAGTACCACCCATAACAGAGTAACCAAGTAAGATTTCAGTATATTATAGAAAAAGACTATTTGATTTGTTCTATCATATGAAAGCAAACCTTTTCCACAGAGTGTTTTAGTTTAATAGAGCAACTTTCAAGCTGATGATTCAATTGTCATGGCTCTTTCATTTATGCTCTCACTAAGAGGTACTTTTTGAATGAAATGTTAAAAAATAAAGGACATTTCTATCTAAAGATATATCATAACTGAAAAATATTTACTCAACAAATTGAATACAATGATTATGGTGTATATAAATGTAGTCTTATGTCAACAAGTGGTGAACTATATTTAGTGACTTGGAATCACAGGCAAAAAGATACTTTAACAACATGATACTGGGGGGAAATTACATTTTATATAAGGACTTGCAGATGGGTACATCGTGTACCTACTTTAAAGTGTCTTTATATCTTTAACAATGTTTGGAATTGAAAGCTAGGAATCCTGGTGCCTTATTAGAGACATATTAAGTTACACCCAACCAATTACCACAATCAGTGTGTTGTGGCTGCTTTTGTTCCTTTTAAGTGAGCTGATGTCTCACAGGCTGTTTCTCCCACAGAGTTCAATGGCTCATTGGCCATGGACCATCCTTCTCTTGGCCATCAGCGGTTTCTGCAACTTTGCCCAGAATGTCATCGCCTTCAGCATCCTGAACCTTATCAGCCCTTTGAGTTATTCTGTTGCAAATGCCACAAAAAGGATCACAGTCATTAGTGTCTCCCTGATCATGCTTCGCAACCCTGTTACCTCCACCAATGTTCTGGGCATGATGACTGCTATCCTGGGAGTGTTTTTGTACAACAAGGTATGTAGCCAATGGAAAAATCTTCCTTTAACCTCAGGCCAAACAGTGAATGAAAAATGAATGTAGTTGAACATTCTCTGAGCCCTGGTTGGAACTCAGGCTGGAATTCAACCATAACTGAGGTTTAGCTTTTTAAATGGTGGGACTAGCTCAGGATTCATTTCCTGTTTCCTCAAAATGAACAGAATGACTTCTGCTTTTGAGTTTCATTAATGACTTGAGAAAGGGGTATGTTTCTGTCTTTGTGGATTCTTATCTCCTGATTTCTCAGATATTCTGTGAATGAAGCTCTACTTTAAGTGTTGTCCATAGAGGTCCATTGTTCTCCTTTTTTGTAGCTCCTCAACATACTGAGTCCTTGATATTCTCTGAGCTGAGTTTTGTTCTTGCAAATAGCTGGGTTATTTTCTGGCAGTTTCATTATCAAGCCAGGTGACATCATCACTGATAATGTTTATCTAGTTAATGAAAGGCTTGCAAGAAAGTAACCAAGGTCAGAGAGCACCAGAGACCCACAATTTAGTCTAGAGCTACAAATATTATCTTCCGTCGGTCCTCAACATTGCCAAATTTCAATGGTACAAAATCAACAACATGGTTTTCCATGGTTTTGAGATAGAAAACTAAGCAATATGTGCCTTAACCTTTTTGGAAGAAAACAGAAACAGAGTTAATTCTGACAAATATTGTAAAGATAACCCAAAAGTTCGGTTGATTTCTCACAAGCTACAGTATAAATATGCGACAATTTTAAATATTAATTATTACTATAACTATTGTTATAAAAGATGTGTATTATAAATAATCAAATGAAATAGTTCCCCAGTCTTGAGAGCTGAAATGGCCTTTAACAGTCTACCCTCTTATCTGAGGTTGGTAGTTGAATTTAATGCGAAGGAGGTGATATGTTGTTTCAAAATATCGCAAAGAAACTTTGACACTATATAAGGTAGATGTGCCTTGTGGGCTTCCTTAGTGGCCTGTAATCTTAGCAGCCCGCTACACTGAAACAACTCAGTTAATATAACAAGCTACAGTTCAGTACTGACACAAAAATGCAAAGAACTCTGCTTTCCTCTCAAAAATGACAACAAAAATCCTACCTCTGTCTGTGAATGTATATGGCCACACCCACTTTGTTTCATTGATCCCATCCAGCCAAAGTGGAGTCAGTCTGGCTCAATTCTCTTACAGGAATATTGAAGTACTTGGTTTATGATGCAATAGCAGGGAGGGGCTTCATTTGAGACTCTAGAAGTCAAATGAACTGACCAATCAGGCTTGAGTTTATGTCTTGCCCTGTTAGGACTTATTATTTGCTCCAAGACTCCAAAGGCAATACTTCCATGTTGCTCCTCAGACATAGGTCCTTCCTTTTGCTATGATGGAAGCCTACCATAGTGTCTTATCACATGGACTCCTTACTCCTTACCTCCCAAAGACCCATTAGATCACACAGGGTTGGCCTCCTCCGGGTTCCGTCTACCAGCCAAT